TAATGCTCTATCATTCTGTCTGTCATTCTAACATTGTCATTTGTTCTATCACTCTATTATGCAATATGTTGTTTTATCTATCTATCTATACTATCTATCTATCTATCTATCTATCGTTCTATCTATCATTCTATCATTCTATCTATCGTTCAATCATTCTATCTATCTGTCGTTCTGTCATTCATTCCTTCTATTGCTTTCTGTCGATTTGATTCTGTCGCTCTATTGTTATTTCTACAGTATCTGTTGTTCTATCTATCTATCTATCTATCGATCTATCAGTCGATCTATCTAATACATATACATAATGTAATCTATAGTGAGCTTTATTTACATAGAGGCCACATTAAGTGCTGATGAAACTATTTTAGGTGGTTAGTTATATAACCTGTTTCAAACAGAAAAGTGTGAAATGAATTATATAAACATTTGTAGAACATGCTGATACATTGAAATACTCAATTTTTTCAAGCCATTTTGGAGTTGTCTCTTCCCATTCTGTACTTTCTGAGTTGGCACAGTGGAACCAACAGTTCAATGTCTGTATACACGGACAAGATGGAAGAAATGCACTTTGATGGCTTTGAGCAAAGGCTTGGAGGTGCAGACAACTCGAGGACAGAAGGGTGCTGCGTCCCAGACGGCTGATGCATTGCAAATCGGCCACTGTCAGATCCGTTCACATTTTCAATCATTATTATTTGAAGCCAGAAGCACGGCGTGATAAAATATCATCCGAGAGAAGTTGTGGAAGAGAGTCCTTGCTTTGTGGTATTGATCTTTCTCTTCTCGGCGCGTTATTAGATTCTGATCCCATGAAAAAGCGCTGGATGGATCATTTGGCCGTGAAATAGTTGATTGCATTTGAGGTCTCATTTATAAGGGAAGGGAGGACTGTTTACATTTTATTTGGCACGTCATTTACAAATGCCCCCACAGCCGCTGAAATTGAAAACATAAATCTGGTCAACACCAAGCTAAGCATCTTCCCTCCGGCTCTCAGAAGCTGCGGAAAACGCTCAAAAGCCAATATCAGAAGGGACAGGGTTGACTGACTAAGGCTGCCCTCAGCTGTATTGTACAATGTTTTCAGCACAAGATACTGGCCCTGTTTGTCTCGTGTGGCCTCTCTTCCTGTCCGGCCAACTCTCAGGACACTTGTTTTACTAAGGCTGCTGCCAAAATACTATTGGTCTCCAGAGGAAGGAAGGGATGCCCGGTCGGTAAGTGTGTCTGGAGAAGCATGAAGCATGTAGTGTGCGCATCCCAGTGGCCCATTTGGTGCTTCCTCAGTTTACTGTACCATTTGTAGTTTATTTCGGACGCGAGTAATTTTCTTTGAACCAGTGTTATCAATTTGCAGTCCGATTGTGATCATTTTAGGTGAGCAATTATTGCATTGATGTAATTTGCAAATTAGTGGGATGTGAATCTTAAGTAAATTAATGATTCTGATTCCTGGATTCTGGTTGCTTAAAAGTTCCATTAACGATTCTTTTAATAGTTTACATTTAAATGAAGACTGCAAAACTACTAATAATTCCTTTTGATTTAAATAATTTATTTTTGAATATTAATTTTTGCAGAATTTCGTATTACAGACCTTTAAAAAATATTAAAGGTCTGTAAATACATTTAAATATGTTTATTAAAAGTACATTTTACAAATCGTAACGGTTTTAATAGAAATAGTTTTAGTCTGACATTAGTCAAATTAAATGATTTCAGTAAGCGAGAGCACTCTGATTTTAAGTGTGTTTGGTTCACTCAAAAGAACTGCTCATAGGAATCATTCTTTCAGGAATCACTGGTTGCGCTGTGTGTTTTTGATTCACTCAAAATGGTTCATAAGAGTCATTTGTTTGGGAATCGAATTACACTGGTCATGCTGTTTAGTTTTGATTAACTAAAAAGGACCACTCATAAGAATCATTCATTCAGGAATCAGACTACACTGGTTGCGCTGTTTGTTTTTGACTCACTCAGGCTGGTTCATAAGAGTCATTTGTTTGGGAATCGAATTACACTGGTCATGCTGTTTAGTTTTGATTCACTAAAAAGAACCGCTCATACGAGTCAGTCATTCAGGAATCAGACAGGTTGTGCTTGTGTACTTATGCTTCTCTGAAAAGAACCGCTTCATAATAGACATTTGTTTGGGAATTAAATTACACTATTCTTGCTGTTTATTTTTAGTTCACTGACAAGAACCGCTCATGAGAATCATTTACTCGAGAATTCAAATGCACTGGTTGCACTGTATATTTTTTATTCACTAAAATAATTGGCTCATAAAAAAGTTGACTCCTGCATTCTGCTGTGAAGGTGTACATTGTTCGGATGTATTAATGAGAGAAGTATGACTCGTGTGATTCCTGGGATTGGGCGTCTAGACGTGCCAACTCTTACCCTGCTTGAAGTCCGCTGACACTTTGACTCTGTGATAGTTCTACCACTGCGTCGCTTTGATACAGCAGAGCTCCACTTTAATCCCAGGATGTTTCCTCTGCATCTAAAACCTCATTAATCCAGCCATGGGTGTTTTATACTCCAGGCAAAGTGGAGATGATCCAGCCGCCCCTCTGCCTTTGCCCTCTCTGGAGCCCAGGAGATGCACTCAGATGGTTTGTAGGCTAGAGACTCTCATTTGCCAGCTGTGTCTTAATTGATTTTGCCCTCAAGCTCGGGATGAGGAGAAGAAATGGTTGCAGGCAGGTGGACTATTGGATATAGAATATGTGTGTCCATGCATGCACCCCGCTGTACCAGGTCTAAGTGTGGCTATGTTTATGTCTGAAAATATGTTTATGTGTGGAGAGGATGAGAGTCTGAGAGGCTTTTACAATGGAAATTGTTTTAGAGCTAAAAAAATGTTAACGGTTCTTCTGCTTAATGCTAGAGGGTCTTAAAAATGTATATTTTATTTATTTAAAACTTGCTCAAAAATGTAATCTTTATATTTCTTCAGGGTTTTCTACATTTTAGTAACCACAAGTAGTACGTTTTAATAGTAAGTTTCTAATAGTAACGTTTGTTTATTTATTTAAGCATTTTTAATAGATTTTATATATTTAATTATACTTATGCCAGAATAAAATTTAATAACATATAAATGCATGCATACATAAATTACTGTTATTAAAGCTATGTTATATCTCAAAACTAAATTCATCTCCATTTATGTTTTTTAGTTATTAAGAGATATTTATTTAGTTCTATTCTCAGATGTTATATATTAATATTATATTGTTGTTTATTTATATTTTTATTTAAAACGTGTGCTTAACTATTTAATTTAATATTTTGTTTCTATAACCACAAACTTTATTTATTTATTTGTTTGTTTGTTAACATTTTTGTATATTTTATATATTTAATTATATTTATACAAAAACTGTAATAAATGTGTTTTTAAAAATTGCATACATAAATGCTACATTATATCTCAAAACTAATTTCTTCTCCATTGATGTATTTATTTTTTTGTTTTAGTTATTATGAAGTATTTACTTTTTTTTTTTTTTTTTATTCTCATATGCCACATATTAATTATATATATTATATTGTTGTGTTTATTTATTTATTTAAAACATATGCTTAGATATTTAATTTAATATTTTGTTTCTGTAACCACAAACTGTACAACTTTATTTATTTATTTGTTTGTTTGTTTAAGCATCTTTAGTATATTTTATATATTTATTTATATTTATACAAAAAACTGTAGTAAAAGTGTAAAAATGACATACATAAATGATATATTATAAATCAAAACAGTATTTCATGTCCATTTATGTATTTATTTTTGTTTTAGTTAGTTATTATTTTGTTTAGTTATTTAGTTATTATTCTTTATTATATTCTAATGTTTATTATATGATGTTGTTTTTAAAGTATGTATTGCATAATAAATAAATAGTTAAATAACATTTAAATAAATCTTTACATTTCTTTTTCTATGTTTTAGTTACCACAAACAGTGCAGTAAATATGTTATTTTTATCTGGTGGTTAATAGATGCATGTTGGAAATTGCATTTATGTTGGTAACCATAGCAACAGGAATCAGGATTAAGATCATAGTCACATGAAAAATCACAACAAACAGAAATACTGTAGTTATTTATGTTGCATTTTAGATCAGAAATATATCACATAAAACTAGTGTTTTTAAAATCTACAAGCTACAGTAAGTGACATTTGGCTTAGGGCCACCAAAAACAATTTGATTTGCACAAGATGAAGCTCAACAGATTGGAGACCAAAGATTTCTAATAAAAAGCTGATGCCCAAGTCATTATGTATTTTGCACGCTGCTTTTTCACAGTTAGCTTTTATGGCGCATTAACTTGCAAAATGACATTACGAAATGTCAAGTTTACCATCACAGCTGTCATGCTGAAATATCTGGACATATGCCAGTGATGTTTATGCAAATGTGCTTTGTATGGTAACCTGGAAATTGATTTGAGTTAGTGTAAATCACATTCATGTGTCTAATGTCATTGTTCTTTAAAATGAAAAACAAAATACCAAAACATTTGATCATGACAAAAACCACGAGAGAAATAATATGCCTATAGGTTCAACTGTAGCTGTATGGCCAGTTCTTGAAATAACATCTTGAAGAAAGGCTCAGCAAATACATTTTCAACACAAGCGGTTGACTAATTCCCCCCGTGAACACAAAGATTGGACACAGCTGGTCCGAATTCTTTTTTGCACAAACGTGTTTGTAAAAAGGGTCCAACTCATTATTATAGTGATTTGTAGTTCATTTCAGAAACGCCAGCAATACTTTTTACCTCAGTAATTGGAAATATAGCAATGTTAGGACATATGTTAGTTTGAAAATAGAAAAATAATGAGAACAAAATCACAACTTTCTGGTGTGCCGTTTTATAGCACCTGCGGTACTTTCTCAGCTCTAATGAAATGGTAAAATAAAGCAAAACTGTTGTTTCTGAATTTCATAATTTCTCTGTCTGTTTGTTCTCACAGATATTGATGATTGTCAGTCCAATCCATGTCAGAATGGAGGCACCTGCATTGATGAGATCAACTCTTTCGTATGCCTGTGTCTGCCCAGCTATGGTGGAGCAACCTGTGAGAAAGGTAATAAAATAGCACATATGTGCACTTGCATGCAAATGATGAAATATATGGCATAAAAGAAATTATGGACGTCGGGGAAGTTCCTGATCTGGAATAAGCGGCATCTTTTTAAACAAATCTTTTTAAACATTTTAATTTTAGTTGTTTAGTTTGTTTCATTTGTTTTTATGTGCATTTGTCATTTTAGTAATTTTTATTTTTGTTTCAGTTTTAGTCATTTTAATACTTTAATTTTGTTTTTTAGTTGCCAAGGCAATTGTTCCCCCTTATTTTGATATATGAAGGGATGAATGGATGAATGAATGAATGAAAGGATGGATGGATGGATGGGTGAATGAATGAATGAAGGGATGAAGGGATGGATGGATGAATGGATGGATGGATGAAAGGATGGATGGATGGAGGGATGGGTGAATGAATGAAAGGATGAAGGGATGGATGGATGGATGAAGGGATTGATGGATGAATGGATGGATAGATGGATGGATGGATGGATGGATGAATGGATAAATGAAGAGATGGTTGGATGAATGAAGGGATGAATGGATGGAAGAATGAAGAGATGATTGGATGAAGGGATGGATGGATGGATGGATAAGTGAAGAGATGGTTGGATGAATGAAAGGATGGATGGATGAATAAAGGGATGAATGGATGAAGGGATGAATGAATGAAGCGATAAAGGGATGGATGGATGAATGCATGGATGAAAGGTTGGACGGATGGATGGAAGTTGCCACAAAGTGATGCTAGTACAAATTAGCATATACACACAGCATATATTTAGAAAATATTTACATATATTTACATGTATATATTTATATTCATATAATTTATATCATGTATAAATATATTTAATATATAAACGGAACAAATTTTCCTAAATATATACATGCATGTGTGTGTGTATTTATATATACATAATAAATACACACAGTACACACACATATGTACACAAAAACTTTTATTTTGGATGTGATTAATCGCGAGTTGGGCTCAGGTGGTTGTGGGATGTGTTTCCCATACATTTATTTATTTGTGGCGCTCGCCACAATATCAAAACTGACGGATTTTCCAAAAGGCTTCATTGAATAAACATGAGCACGTACTGCACGTTTAAAAATCAAAACGAGGCGCGGGTGTTTTTATATCACTGTATTTCTGAAGGAAGACTATCTTTAGAACATTTTCGATGTCATTTTCATTTCATCTTGCATGTTATATGCCTGATAAAGCAGCGTTTGTGAGCTCAGCGCTGCTGTGTGTACAGCCGTTACTGGGGAAACCTCTATTTCTCCCACTTTAAAGCACCTCCTGCTGGCAGAGAATTAATTAGCATTTTCAGTAAGTCCGTCTGATTTATGCAGCAAACATATTTTGCTTTTCCTATATCCACGGGCACTGCGGATAATCCGCGGGTCAGGTAATAAAAATTGCATTCTGATTATTTGCGGGTGGGTCACGGGTGGATAAAATAAGTCATAAATGGTGCAAATATTAACTACATTTTTTTAAATACATTTTTTTCATGAGGCAGACGATTCCACCAGCGATGACATGACTGTGGCGCCAAATCATTTATGTCCCCACGCATCATGTACGTCGTCATCAAATTGCGATCGGTTCGTGAGATCGGCCAAGTGTAGTGAGTACCGATCGAGTCTTAAATTGTGATTATCGGCCGATACTGGAGATCCGGAGCATCCTTAATATTAGGGCTACACGATAAATCGCATGCGATATTTAACGCGCATCTTGTAAGTAAAGCCGGTTCTTTAATCAGCGGTAAATCTCCATCACCTGCGGGCTTTCACATGGAGCAGCATTAACGACACAGAGCCGTTGTTCACCGACAAGCTGCGCAAAACCACGATCATATTTTGCGCATGTTGTGCGCAGCTTGTCGGTGAACAACGGCTGTATATATATATACAGGGTGCGATTTGCTGAGGGGGATGGGGGATTTCCCCCCCTCTGGTTTATGCATCCCTGCCTCTGCTGAATTATTTTTATCCCCGGTGGGGATAAAAACATCCCGCGATCTCGCTTCGAGGTCCCGATCTTACTCAAATGATTCGCGATACGCGCTTTGAAGTCCCGAATCAAATGATTTGCGATACGCAATCCGAATAGAGCGATTTGAAACAGTGAATCATTTTGCGACTCAATGGTTTAACTGATTCGAAGTTTCAAAAAGCTCCGTTGATACTTTGTTCTTTGCTTGCTTTCTCTATATAATTTATTTGTTGCTTGAAAAACCGTGGAAATGAAATCATTACAATTAATAGGCCTAACTTACAATGTTTTTAATAGATTAATTGTGATCACGTTAAATACAGTTCCCGTCGTATTAAAAACATTTCATGACATGTCACCCATTATATGGTAGGCCTACTTGCCTAAAAAGACGGGTTTATGATGTGCGTTATTAACAGATTACACTAACATTAGATTACTTAGGCTACAGCCTTACCCTTACCTTCCACCTATGGAGAGAGAAAAAAGTTTTCAAAAGCATCCCCCCCCCTACTTTTTTTCACAAATCGCACCCTGTATATATATATATATATATATGATGGCATATTGATACTTCACTAGCTGAGTAAACCACAAACAAGTTCAGGTCCAGGCATTTACACTGATGGCAATGGGTGCAGATAGCCCAGGTGAGTCTTGTCAAACTAAACAAGCTGCACCTGTACTGAGACGCAGCACATTTAATCCTGGTGTAATCCAAGCGGTGTCAGACCTGCGCAGCATGAATCACTTTCTCCTGTCTGAATGTATTTGCTATACCATCCTATGGCCTTACAACCAAGCGTTCAGCTGCAGGGCAATGAAGCATGGGCGATCAATCCTGTCCCCGCCGCGCGAGAGAGAAAGTGAGTCTGAGAGCGAAATGGGAGTGAGAAAATAGAGGAAGCAGTGGGTTGAATGCACTCGGACTTGCGATCGGTCTGGTGGAGCGAAACACACCTTCACCCGAATCCTCCCCTCCGAATGCAGCCCCCAAAGACAGCGGAGGGGTCGGGGGGAAGCCCTCCCATCATACACACACTTTATGTCTTGTAAAGTGGGCCGGAGGAGTAGGAGCAGTAGACTGGAACGGGTCCATGGCTGCCCTTCTGGTGGTGACAGGATGTTCATTTTTGGGTGAACTATTACATTAACATTCAGGACTACTGTCAGTGTGTCTGTAGTCTTTGATTTATATTTTATTTTGTACCAGTGCTTCATTAAATGCTTGATTCGGATTGGTCACAGTTTGTGGCAAAGGATTATAGAGCATAACAGTTGGGGTCCAGATGTGAAAATCCCAAGGATTTTCTTCCAGAAGAACAGATTTTTTATAATTTTCTAATGACAGCTTAAAAAGTTGCAGTAAATACTTTAATACCTTAGTGAATATACATTATTTTAATACTTACAATCAACCATTTTAAATCAATGGTTTTATGTTTTTGCAGTTTATAATTCAATTATTTAATTTTTAATTCTTCATGGGAAATAAATCAATAAATAAATATGTTAAAATTATTATTATTATTATTATTATTATACTTAAAATCAACCATTTTGAATCAATTGTTTTGTTTTTACAGTTTTTAATTCAATTATATAATTTGCAATTCTTCATGGAAAATAAATGTATAAATATGTTTAATTTATTATTATTATTATTATTATTGTTATTATTATTATATAACTATTATAAATTATTATATGTAACTTGTTTTTCCTTTTGGAAGTACAAATGCCATTCTTTTTTTTTTTTCAGAAGAACTGACTTGTAATGAAAACCTAATATATTATTTTATAATGTAATATTCAAATAATAAATTAAAAACCAGTTCAGTTCTTATGTGGAAGTGCTTAATTTCTTTTATTAAAAATAAATAAATAAATATTAATTTATAATAAATATTATTCTATGCAATACATTATACATAATACATTATTTTAATATTGCTTTTATTTCTATTATCAACAACTTTAAATTAGTAGTTTTATTACAATAGTCAATTTTACAATATCATTTGCAGTGCTTAATGGGAAATCTTGTTGTTGTTTTTTTTGCTTCAAATCAGCGTTTGTAATCTTGTGATTCTTTTTTAGAGCTAGTTGGTTTGGCTCTTATATTTTATGAATTCTTGGAAGATTTTTTGTTTAATTCCTAATGAAAATGAATAGGGAAATGTGGTGGAGAATGTGGGCACATACTATATGTATGTTTGGAAATGTACTAATGCATATATATTAAATTTTTGCATGGTTGCATCACCACCTTGTCACGATTTCTGTTCAACAGGAATATGGTTATTATTTCTCACCTGGATTGGCGTTTTTAAATTGCACCTTGAGAGCACCAATCTGGATGTTTTTGTGCATGAACAGTGGTTAATTTACTCCCTCACACACCCCTTCAATAAGAATGATCAAAGAGGCACTGAAACCTGTGTCAGGTTAATTTGTTTGCTCGCCCAGTCTCTGGTGTAATTAGTGCTAATTTCGTTAACGAAGACTATGACAAAAAATGTTCGTTGACGAGCTTTTTTCCCATGACTAAGACGAGATGACAATAAGGTCAATAAACGCTAACTATGACTATATCAACATGCAATTTCGGTGATGAAATAAGACGAGACTAAAATGTATTCAAACAAATAAAAACTTTAACAAAAACCTCTTTATTTTCGTCAAAAAAGGAGACAAAATATTATTGCGTACTCCTCTCCATGCCTCTACTACGCGAGCTTCAAAAGAGTTCAAATCCCCGAATCAGAGCTTCGCTGTTACAAGGATAAATTTTCTGCCCGGTGTTTTGCTTGTTTTACGCAATCTGGAAACCATGCGCACGCGCTCACTCCTCATTGCAGAAACGCCGCCGCCGATGATCTGAAAACACAGACAAACAAGCTGGAGTTTAGCGATCTAAATGAAAGTGTCACTCAGCCGGTCTCTGTTCTCTGTGTTGAGATCTAGACTATATTGTTTGTGAC